GAAAAGAAACAAGAAGAACGAGAAAAGAAACAAGAAGAGAGATTACAGCAGTGGCAACAAAACCTGCAACAGTGGCAGCTCGAACAGCAAAATAAACAAGAGAGATTACAGCAGTTTTGGAGGAAAATAAAAGAAACAAGAAGAGAGACTACAGCAGTGGTTGGAGGAGAAAGTAAATGAACAAGAAGAAAGTCTCCAACAGTTGAGAGAAAGCCAGAGTACACAAATGGAAAACATTACTAAATTTCAAAGCGAATTAAATACATTAAAGAATGATTCACTGTCTTTTACACAAGGAGGATATATTAGCCATCGACCTAATCAGCCTTAGACAATGGCAAACCCCTTCCAGATCCTGCAGCTAAACCCTAATGCAGACATCTTCAGTCCTGTTAGAAGTCACATCCTGGATATGAATGTCAGCAATAGGGGTGATCTAGTACAAAGGAAGCCACAGGAATTCGATGGGAAGGCACCGTGGGAAGCATATAGAGCACAATTTGAGCTCCTGGCAGAGATGAATGGATAGACAGAGGAGCAGAAAGCAGTATATCTGGCAACGAGCCTGAAGGGACAACCACTGGAAATACTTGGACAGTTGTCAGCAGACGACAGGCACAATTATAGAGCACTGGTAGCTGCTCTAGAGCTCAGGTATGGAAATCCAAATCAGTCCGAAGTCTACAGGGCTAGGTTTAGGACTAGAGTTCGTGCTAAAGGGGAGCGCCTGCAAGAGCTGGCACAGGATTTGGAAAGTATGGCACACAAGGCCTACCCATGAATGCTGCAAGTTATTTGGCATACGAAAGACCAGAACAACGCCACTTCACCCACAGTCCGATGGGATGGTAGAAAAGTACAATTGGACACTTGGACAGGAATTGGCAAAGTTTTGTAATAGCTGCCAAGATGACTGGGATGTCTTACTCCCTCCACTGTTGATGGCCTATTGAACAGCAGAGCATGAAGCCACTGGATACACTCCAGCAAAGCTGATGTTTGGTCGGGAACTTCGGTTGCCAGTGGATCTGTTAATAGGACGCCCACCTTATGAAGAGTTGCTTGAAAATGTGTCAGAGTTCGTGAAAGTGTTATCAGAAAGGATGGATGATATTCACCATCAAGTGCATTCAAACTTGAAAATGTCTGTATTCCATGAAGCTATGTTATGATAAGAGATCTGCTGAAGTCAGCTTCGTACCAGGAGACATGGTGTGGTTGTATAATCCCAGGAAGACCAAAGGGAAGTCTCCTAAGTTGTCTTCTCCTTGGGAAGGCCCATATGACATAGTGGATCGTCTCTCAGACGTGACTTTCCGAATAAAATGTGGTCAGCGAGGTAAGCCAAAGGTGGTGTATGCCAACAGGCTTTGGCATTATCATGGTCCAGGACATTTGAGTTGGAACGAAGTGAACAATGGAACAAATGACGCTGCTGTAGATGTGTCACCTGAAAAAGCCACTGTCGAAGAAGAAACTCTATCCTGTTTTGAGAAGGGAAATAGTGAAGCCCTTAACGAAGTTACTACCACTGATGTGACTGTTACTGATAATAGGACTTTCCTGATGGAGCAGATGAACTTTATGTGAAGGAGAAGCCAACGAGACGGAGACCAGTATGGAAGAAGATACGTCCCGTAAAATTAAGAGACTTTGTTGAATTTTAATTTAGTGCTTGTAAATTCTGTACATTTAATTAAGTTATGTTAATTATCTATTGGTTAAATGTAAGTTGGCTATTGTTTGGGATGAACAATACTAAGGAAGGGGACAGTGTTACGACTAAG